TGAAAGCAGAATAACATATTTTTATTAATTCAAAGCTTTCAAGAAAATAAAATTTCAGCCTTAAATGACCTATAAAGCAGTTGTTATACTGTTAAACAATCAAATCAACTCAACTTTCCCATCTAAAAAAGTCATTTTCACTTCTTGCTACCTAAAATGCAAATCTTATTACAATAGTTACTGGGGGGGAGGGGGGTTATTAAAAATACTAACTCAATCAAAACTAGATTTCAACACCAGAAAACTGTTTTAAACAAAATATATATAAAATATATATTTCTATCTCTTTTTGGCAAAGTACTAGATGCTCTAAGCAATACTGAATTGATTAATCATCTAACCTTGTAGGAGGTTTTCTTTCAGATAAGCAGTGTGGCTTTTGCTTCTCTAGGTGTTAACAATTATGATTGAAAGAATCTCTTAAATATTTTCCAATTTTATTTTTTATCCAAAATATCTTATCTTCAGGATTATTCTGAGAAATTTAACAATATATCGACATGGAAAACAAATTCTTAGTTTTGAAAAAAAAAAAAAGTTAGCAATATTCAGCTTACAAAGGAGCATTCACTTTTTAACATTTTGGATTTAATGTAACTACAAACATTTCACATTTAAACTTGCCTTGATAAAGTCAGATTGACAAAACACATCAGTTATGACTAAGAAATATTTTCCAGTTGTTGTTTTTTTATATAAATATATATATTATATATATATATATATATATATATATATATATATATATAACAAAATCTTTTAGAGGTAAAGTCTGTTTCATGCTAGATGTGTTCTGGCCTGATGAACATCTAGCATGAAACATATATGTGCCTCTAAGTGCAAATTTTTCTATGTTCATATTTTATATTTACACACGATCTATCTCTGATATTGAGCACTTTATTCCATAAATATAGCACATCTTAAGATTATATTTCTTCATATATATATATATATATATATATATATATATATCCTTTATTATAGGATATTACATTAAAACACGTGAATAACACTGCACAAATGCAATCATGTTTCAATGTGTATTATCTATATACAACGCAGATAATGTAACATATTTTAGACAAAGCCAATACTTTAAACAAATAAGATACCCACCACCCCCAAGAAAAAACAGATAAAATAATAAATATAGAAACAAATTAATTATGGCTGATGCTAAACTCTTGGAAACAACACACTGCGCCTTCTTGGTCTCATGTTTTCAACTGACTTGAAATGGAGTGATGACATCGAATCAATAGCTGCATCTACAGCAAGGAAAGTTGGGTCACTGTGTAATGCTAGAAAATTGTTCTTGTCAAGGTCCATCTTGTACATTTACAAATCTACCAGTCCTCCATGCATTGAATATTGCTGCCATATCTGGATTGCTGCTATTCATCTTGAGGTTCTTGACAAAATTCAAAGTAAACAATTTACTCCCAAATTGATAGGCTTATCAATCTGACAAAGTCAAAATGGCAGCCATTGTCCAGAATGAACTCATCCGTAGTCAACTGGCACAAAAGATGGCTTGTTAATTTGAATGCCTTGAAAACTAAACTTCTCTCCATTAATCATCAGAGACACCCATTGCTGCCTTCAGTCAGCATGGCTGAGGCTATCCTCCACGAAAGTGACTCCTTGCGTCTTCTCAGGTTCATGTTCTCTGTTGATATGAAGTGAAAAGACAATATTGAATCCATTGTTACCTGCTCAGAAAATCAGTTCACTATGTCAGGTGAGACAATTTTTCTCTCCAGAATCTATCTTGCATAGTTATAAGTCTACCATTTATCCATGCTTAAAATATTGCTGCCACATATGGTCTGGTACCCCTGCTATTTACCTTGAGCTCCTTGATGAGATCCAAAAAATCTGCAATATTATTAGTCCTGATCTGGCAGCTCAGCTTCAGTCACTTTCCAATCACCGTAAGTTTGCCTTCTTGTGTCTTTTCTGCAAGTGCTTTCATGGTAATTGTTCAGATGAGCTCTTCACTATGGTACCTAAAATTTATGAAGTTAAGCACAGCACTAGACTGGTCTTGAGATCTCTCACCAATTTACAGTTGAGCTGGTTAGATGTGGCCATAAATTCTATGCTAACAGTTTCTTCTCTCACACTTCTCGATTGTGGAACTCCTTTCCGGCTCCATGCTTTCCAGCCAACTTTAATCTGCAAAAATTTAAATGCAACGTCAATCACTATCTACTGTCTACTTGATTATTCTTTTCTCTTTCTGCTCATCATTAATGTTTCTATTCTTAATTCTTCCACACCCGGTAACCCCTTGTGTTTTAGTGGCATTACTGCTTTGCTTGATTCCAATTAAAAAAAAAAAAAGGGGGAGGGTGAAGGATCTGCAATGTAATCAATCCTGACCTGGCATCTCAACTTCAGTGACTTTCTCACTGATATGAGGTGGCTTCTCTCTGTCTTTTCTACAAATGTTTTCATGGCAACTGTTCTGATGAGCTTTTTTCCCCTGATACCTCAACTACATGAATTTAAGCATGCTACTATTAGGTTGGTGTTTTTTTTTTAATGGCGTAATAATGTCGTTCTTTAACATTAAAAAATATGTCAAAAAACGACATTATTACGTCATTATTTTTGCACCAACCTAATAGATTGGCATCTAGGTCCCACCCTTTTACTGTTGAAATAGTTAAATATAACTGCCATATATAGGGGTTTTATTAGTATTTTATTTTCTAAATATACCATATATTAATTAGAAAAAAGGGGGCCTAAAGGAGGTAGGGAATAATTAATTTGATAAGGGTTTTTTAAAGGAAATATACTGGTGTAGTTATTTGTGAAATGATAGTTCAGAGATGATCTTTTTCATGGATTTTTACATTTCCATAAAGGTAGCCGGGTTGGTAGTCACCTATAAAGTTATAAGATCCTTTTTCAACATTGTTAGCAGTAATAAGTTTATTGATATGATTTTTAAGTTGGGAGTTGGTGTTTTTAGTTAACTTTTTAAATTTATTGTGATCATCCAAAATGGCCTGTTATTTTGAGTGGTACTCATGTTTGCTTAAAATAACAAAAGTGTTAGTCTTATCAGCTCATCAGATAACAACACTGTTGTTATTTTTTAGTTGTGTGGCTGCTTTTATTAAAGGAATGTTTATAATTTATTTGGATTTTTATGATAATGGTTTTTAATAGATTTGGCTTTAAGTTCTTGGGGATGCACAGAATGAACTAAGATTTTTTGCTATGGTGTTAGAATATATCAGAAGGAATTTTTGTCAGGTTGCATGATCTTCTCTTGCATCCACAACAATAAATAATACTTAATATAAAACAAGGCAAAACGTGTATGCAATTCAAACAAATAAATGCATTTATATACAACACAAATATTATTACAAGATATTATTATGTTGTTATATTTGTTAGTGGATGAAGATTTTGTTTGTATTTTGGTGTCTTGGTGTATTTGTATTACAGTCTATAAGAATTTGTAATTAGTGTTTAAACACCGATATTATGTTCGTGTTGTTCTTTTTGTATTGTTTAGAATTGAGTCATTCAGAAGTAGTCTACCCTTAACTGTAAGAGTGAAATATGTTCAATAATAGTATTTACTTAAATTGTAGTGAGCGTTAATAATTCACTTTTTGCGAGTTTTGCGAGTTGAAGTTCTTTGTATTCACAGTAATCTTCCAGTCGAGTTTGTGGGTGAGTCAGTTGTGTTTTTTTTTTTCTCGCAGGAAAATTATAATCACAAGTTACGTGGATTGGATTAGCGCTTCTCTGTGTTCGCTGGACTGACAGATTTATCGTAGATGATCAAAGAGAATGTATAGTTTGAAATTCTTGAATGACAAAGAAGTTCGTAGAAGATATTGAACGGAAAAGATTTGTCGTTTGATTTTCGAGAGACAGTAGTAGTAGTTAAAAATCACATTTTAAGCTTGAGTGAGCGGTCGAAAAATGGTCTGCTGCTAATCTGCCCAGGTCTGCATCTGACGTGTCACACGTGCTTTGGTTTTTTTTTGTTTTTTTTGTTTTTTTTAAGAGGTCATGATCACGTGGGTGGCTCCAAAACGATTTTGCACCAAAACTTCAAAGTGCACGTGCAGGCGACCTGATTGGTAGAAATGAATCAGAGGGCTAGATTTACGAATGAAAGTTGGAATAGTGCATTACTCGAAGAAGGTAAGATCGGGATAATAGACAAGCCCAATAAAGTAATTCTTTTAAACCTACCTGTGTAGTAATAGGGTTGCCTTGTTCCAATAGAAGTATTTGTTGGTATAAAACTTCAATTTGCATTTGTTTAAACATTAAATTAGGTTTCTCTGTGACATGAAAATTTGGTCCAAGATTAGAGAATTCTATTTCATTTGGAGTGAGTTGGTAATCCGATATGTTAATGAAGTTGTCGTTGATGTTTGGTAAAAGTATTTTTCCTTTATATAATTTGTTTAGCTTTTTTTGGGTGACTTATTTAAGGGATTTATTTTCCTTTTGTGTTGTATTATATAATAAATCCAATATTTCCTCAAATTTTTTCTGTCGTGGTAAAAGATTGTAATGCATACAATTTCAATGTTGAGCCATTGTAATTCCTGTTTGGCTGTGTTTATTTGTCGTTTAATGAGGTTCCATTGAAATTTCTTTGGGTTGGGATCATTTAATGCTGTGGCACCATGTAACTTGAATTTTTAGTGTATTGGGGCAGCAGATTATTATTTAAACATATATTGTTAAATATAACAGACAGAGAATGTTTATTATGTTTGATCATGAGCCGTTCTAAACTTCGTATGGTTGCTGTAATTTTGGGTGAAAATAAAGACAAAAATTGAAAACCTTTTTTTTTTTTTTTTAAAATTACGAATAAATAATTACATTAAAAATAATCAATGTTTAACTTTTATTTAGTCAAGAAAGATAACTCTTATTGGTTACATATTCTAGAGTTATTTCCCTTGTTTCATTTACATTGTCTCACGAAAATCTATTTACCCACGATGGTTTGTTTTTTTTTTTGTGTTTTTTTTTTTGTTGTTTTTTTTTTTCTTTTAACTAAACCCGAGGTTAAGACTAACTTCTTTAAAATCTTTAGGATTTTTAAGTTTTTCTTTTTGCAGCTCATTAACCTGAACAATATTTCCTGTTTAACTTTTGTCAATTTCTATAGAAACTAAATACTTTTGGTTATAGGGCGGAATTCCGTGGATTAAACACTGGATTTGCAGTAGTTAAGAATTTACAATTTCCGTAAGTTTCTGGAATCATTTTATATTCTTTGTGCATTGAAAATAAAGGAAAAATGTATTGCCGTTGGTCAGGAATTAATGCTAACAATACTTCTTGAATAGGACTATTATATAGAGAATATAAATACATTGCTAATTTTATTCTGCACTGAAAAAGAGTTAGAAAGGGATTGTCAGTGGTCAGGAATGAATGCAAGCATTACTGATAGAATAGGGCTATTAGATGTATAATGGAAATGAATTGTTAATAATTTTATTACAGAAATGAATTGATAATTGTAGAGAAAAAGATAGCAAGCATTACTTGTTGAATTGGGCTATTACATATGAAATATATTTTTTTTTTCAGATGGAGTCAGTATTGACGTGGAATCTGATAGCAACAAAGCGTCATATGAACAGTTTGAGCCAACAAATGAATGGAAGACTGTTGAAGAAGGCAAGTTTATCACTTTTTTCTTTTTTTGACTTATGAAATAAATTAACTAAAAATAAATATTCCCAAAGCAACTAAAAACTCACATTCTTAAGAAATCATGCTAACCTATTAACATGTTTACACTATTTGCATTGTTTGGACTTATCTTTATTGCCATATTCATGATGTTTCAGCCGTTGTATGCTCTGGCCTTCTTCAGGATTTGTCTATATTTCCGAGATATGATATTGTAACTATTTACACTTTTTACATTGTTCAGACTGTTTTCTTCAAATTTGTTGCCATATTCACATTTCAGCTGTTGTACACTCCAGCCTTCTTGAGGGTCTGTCTATATTTCAGAGATGAGGTATTGCAATTATTTACACTATACAGACTGTTGTCCTCATTGCCATATTCACAATGTTTTGACTGTTATATGCTCTGGCCATCCTGGGTACAACGTTAAACTGCATCCAACAGCAAGGCCTCTGATCAGGAGGTTTTGAGGAGCATGGAACCACCTCTTAATTGCTGATGTTCCAAGGTCCACCCTGACCCAGGGCGTTAGCACCTGTTAGGGTCCCAGCTATGGGCAAATAGTGAACTCCCAGTTTAGCCTGCATCCTGGGTATGACGATAAACTGCATCCATGTCCATGGGTATGACGATAAACTGCATCCTCGTCCATGGGCATGACGATAAACTGCATCTGAGTCCATGGGCATGACGATAAACTGCATCCACGTCCATGGGCATGACGGTAAACTGCATCCTCGTCCACGAGCATGACGGTAAACTGCATCCTCGTCCACGAGCATGACGGTAAACTGCATCCACGTCCACAGGTATGGCGATAAACTACATCCAACAGAAAGACCGTTTTTGAAAAATTAAGGTTGTCGACTATACAGTTTTGGAAAAGTAGTATTACCAGCTATACGTTTTTGAAGGAATAATATTGCCAGCTATATGTTCAAAAAAAAAAAAATATTACCAGCTATGTCTTTTTAACAAAAATAATATTCAATGGAATTGTAAAAAAAAAAAAAATATTACGATGTTTTTAAAAAAATAAAAAATTATAATAATGTTGCCAGTTATTTTTTTTTTTTTTTTTTTAAAAAAATGTTGAAACTATATGTTTTTAAAAAACATTGTTAAAAAGCTGTGGGTTTTTGAAAAAATAATATTTTTTTTTTTTTTGAAAAAACAGTGTTGCCAGCTGTGGGTTTTTGAAAAAAAAAATAATGTTGCCAGCTATACCAAAATCATTTCCGGCATAAAATAACCACTAAGGTTGGAATGGCGTTAAACAAACAAACAAACAAAATATATGCTCTGGCCTTCTTCAGGATCTGTCTATATTTCTGAGATGAGGTATTGCAATTATTTACATTGTTCGGACTGTAGTCCTCATCTTTATTGTCATATTCACAACATTCTGTCCATTTTACACTCTGGCCTTTTTCAGGTAATACACATTGCAATTTCAAAATTAACCCTTTACTTAGTCCTCGGGAAGGGAGGGGGGTGCTAGATTGTTCTAGTTCCACATGCCATGCCTTTTCTGGATAACTCAGTTTCAGTTATTTCCCTTTAGTAGCTCAACTCTCCAAGTTTTTGTTCCCTCTGCTGTGGCCAAGTATTGAACTCACAACTCTTTGGGTCAAGTCACTAGATTTCTTCAACCGACATTTTTATCTACTGGGCCATGCATCTTTCAGTCAAGAGGTATGAGTTCAATACCAAAAAGTCGAGAAGCGATTGTATTTTCTTGCCACTCTTTGCTGACAGGATGTGACACAAGGTCAGTTTAATGTGGGTAGCTAAAGTGCATGCACCCAGACCAGGTCCAAAAATAGTCTAACCTCCACAACTGTTGGTTGCACTGGTATCAGTATTACTAGAGACCCTCCTCTTTAATTCAATGAGGGAGGTGCTGGCATGGGCAGTTGTTTCTGGGCACCTCTTGATAATATTTTCAGTTGATAGATAAAATGTAGTATCTCTGCCCAAGTGCAGATACTACACTTTGATCCCAGCCAAAATGCTGAGAAGCAATAGTTACCATGATAAACCGCCATTTTGCAGATGCACATTATTGAATGATGAAAACCGAGTAAGACAATTGCCCAAAATCCAATTATGGTAAATAAAATAACGTCATCTACTGAATTATTCTTAAATTACAGTAGAATTTCTGACAACGAGACTAAGAAGGTCTTCTAGATATGAGGAATTGGTTACAAAGTCCGGATATGAGGAGGTTATATTTAGATTAAAATAAAAGAACTGAAATCAGGTTTAACATTTATTTTCAATGTTTTATGGTAAACAAAATAAGCTAATGGTGAGTGGAATATAACAGAATTGATTTTAAGAAAAAAGAAATAAATTATGAAATGTTAATGAAAATTTGTTAAATTTAGTATGCCACGTATGCAAAAAACAAATAATGTAACAAGGATTTTTTAATCGCTGTTGCATGATGATTCTTTCTCTTCTAATGTCATTCTTAATTTTTTCCACATTTCATTTTGCTTTTGTTATTGAAATTTTTTAAACAAGACACTTTTTAACTCTGTGTGCTTTATTGCAATCGTCATAGTTGAATGCTGGCTTTCTTTCCATAAAACTGACAACCTTTTCAATTTCAGCCCAGGTTTCGTAACAATCAAGTTTTTTATTTCCTTGTTTATCATGACAGTGTGAACACTCGAGAATAGTTCATTTGGAAGATTTTATATCATACAATGTTGACTTTCCTATGTTGAACTCAACCATTAGTTACAATAAACTTTCACCAGTGTCTAAAATTTCAACTTTTTGCAATAACTGCAAAGTTGTTCTTTTCCTCTTATTCCCATCATCTTATGCACCAATACAAGCCATTAGGGTGAAATAAGCATAAGCAATTATCCAAAGTAAATTTCTTAAAAAACGAAAATTTCAAATCGGTTACATATCACCCAAATAGTTCAAATACACACATGAAAATCATGACCGGATATGTGGGATTCCGGATGTAAGGCACTCTGGATATGAGGGATTCTATATGTAGCTGAAGGCATACAATTGCTTAGACTTCAGCATTAAATAACCCATAGAGTTTGATATGCTGCTAAACAAAATCAAGCAGACCAAACCAATCAAATTATTTAGATTTCGGCATTAAATAACCCATATAGGTATTGATATGCCGCTAAACAAAATCAACCTGACCAAATAGTCCAAATATGAAGCTCTCCGGATATGAGGGATTCTACTGTATTAAGAGAAATGTTCATAAGACGGGGATTTGGTACATTAGAAATAAAATCACCAAGCCAGAATTCCACCCAAACAAATATAGCAATAGTAAATATTTCAGCTGAACTTTCAACCATTCTCAAGACATGGCTATTTTCATCCCTTTTTTTCTCAGCACCCCCTCGTAACTAAAGCAAATACTGACTATTAAGCTACATGGCTACAAATCTAGATCACCACTTGAAGACCAAACCCACTACAATAGGAATGGTTTGCAAGGCAGACTAAAATAAGAGTGTACTGAAAAGTTTTCAGCCTGATCCACTTCCCAAAATAAGAACTTCATGTCATTTATTTTTTTCAGCACCCCCCTCATAACTAAAGCAAATACTGACTAAGCTAGAGTAACGGTTAACAAGCTAGTGTGTAACATTGTGTAAATTGAGGAGAATAAGTTATGGATTCTTCTTCTTCTGTGTGCTGCATTCCTTCAGATCATAGGTAATCATGGTTCTCCACAACTACTTTTCTCCCTTTGCTAAGGTCCTGACCTGCCATTCATTCACACAAGCTCTTCAGATAAAGTCATTCCCAGAAACTGAAACCAACACCCCCACCCTGAATCAAATGAATGAGGGCACTCATATTTCCCTCCCTTTAACCCCCCTATAGGGTCAATAAGTATATAAATATTTACAATTGTTTTTGCACATTTCACTTTTTTGTGTAAAGCACAATTTTTTTTTTATTTATTTTTTTAATATATTTTTTAATGACCGATCCATACTTTTAATATATTTTTTTAATGACTGATCCATACTTTTAATATATATTTTTTAATGACCAATCCATACTTTTAATATATTTTTTTAATGACCGATCCATACTTGCTGAAAAATGAAGATTAACCAGTGTGTGCTAAGATGCACTCACGGGAAAACACATTTTAATTGAAGGTACTAACTTGGCCCCTGTATGACAACTCTAATATCCTACCTTAAAGAAATAGGTTAAAATCAAATCAATATAACACCAACAAATGATCATCTACAGATTATATATATATATATCTATAAAATATACATTTACCTGAAAGTATAAAATCATGCACAAAATATTTGTAGTGGAAGCCATAAAATTGCATAGAAAATATTTAGATTTCTGTATTAAATGACCCTTAGGGGTGTTGATATGCTACTAAACAAAAATAACCAGAACATATCAAGTGGCCAACAAAATTTTTATTTCTGTTAATATTTTTTTTCAAAAATGTATTTTTTTATTTTTTATTTTTCTTTTTCTTCCTTTTTCATTGAAGAGGAGGGAGATGAGGATTATAATATTGCCCATGTTAAAGTCCAACAGCCCCAACATCCGAAGTAATGCTTATGTTTAAGAAATCTTTAAGTTGGTTGCACTTTCAATCAGAAGTGACCTTGCAAACTTTAATCCAGCTTTGGGAGTTAGCAACAAAAAAAAATGCAAGACCAACCAGAAATAGACAAAAATTGACGCATTTTTTTTTTTTTTTTTTTTTTCATAAAAATAAACTGGCTAAAAGCAATGTATTTGAAAATGTTATCTGATGATTTAAATGTTAATTTATTTTCAAAAAATGACTTTTATTTTGATTCTTTTTTGTTTTTGTTTTTTTTGTGGTTTTTTTATACTTAAGATATCCAGAATTTTGAATTATCCAAACATATTTTTCCCATGTCTGTCCCATGATACCTGTATAATCAAGGAAGTACTGTACTTTTTTCACTCATTCTAAATTAAAACGTTTTTTTCACCCCACTCCCAGGTCAAGCTCTCCCTTCTGGTTTGCACGTACGATTGAATTTAAACACTGGGAAGAAGGAAGCTAAATTAATGGAAGAAAATGATGGACTGAGCTACTGGAAAAAGGCAAACAAGGAAGGCAAGCATCTTTCATTCATTCTTTTTCCACCTTTTTTTTTTCTTTCTTCCTGTTTTTCTTTTCTCTTATTTTCATCCTTTTTCTTTCTTTTTCCTCTTTTTTCCATCTTGATCTTTTTCTTCTTTTTTTCCTTTTTCTTTTTTCTTTTCTTTTTTCTCCTTTTTCTTTTTTCTTTTTCTTTTTTCCTTTTTCTTCTTTTTTCCTCCTTTTCCTGTCTTTTTTCTTTCTTCCTGTTTTTCTTTTCTCTTATTTTCATCCTTTTCCTTTTTTCTTTTTTTTCCTTTTTTCTTTTTTTTTTTTTTTTCTTTTTTACCTCCTTTTCTTTCTTTTCTCTTATTTTCACCTTTTTCTTTTTTTTCCTCTTTGTTCTGTCTTTATCTTTTTTCTTTTTCTATCATCCTTTTTCCGTCTTGATCTTTTTTCATATTTCTTCTCTTTTCTTTTTCTTTCTTTTTCCTCCTTTTTCTGTCTTTATTTTTCTTTTTCTTCTTTTTTTTCTTTAACTGCGTCATTTCTTAAATTAGATTTTAATGGCAACTCTGTTTTTCATTCATTTTAATTCTAATTTTAAAAAACAATACATATCAACCACTACACGGACGAAACGATAATTGGTTGATATATTGATTAGTTGATAAATTGAAAAGTAATTGTCATCTTTGATAATGGCTTATGTAAGCTGAAAGCTTAGATTGGATTTAAACATGTATCAATATGGTGTTTTCCTTTTGTTTTTCAATGATAATGTTATTTAAGCTTATCAGACAATATTAAAGGAACTTACTTAAAATAAATAGACAAAACTTGCCTATATTATTTAATGAAACATGCATTAATATATATATATATATATATATATATATATTTAGTTAGAAAGAATTCAAAGTGTAAAAAGTTTTTGTTTTGTCCTTTAGAATTCATCAGACTGTTCATGTGACTATGCATATGCACAAACAAAAGAGAGATGCTGATAATTTTAAGTTTAAAATAATTTTTTTCTTTTCTTTTCGTAATGTGTTTTGGGTACATAATCTTACCAATTCCATTTAGATTCCTTTTCTTTTTGTTTATGTTTCCATCACTTTTGTTACTAAATAATCCGATATTGCGATAATCTACCAAGAAAGGTGAAATGTTGTTTAAATGCATGAGCAATAAAGGCAATCTCTAAACATTTTCCTCTTAGTAGATTGCTTTCTCTTTTAATCAGAATAGCATTTTTTAAATCCAATTTGTGGTCAGTCTCATTACGGTGAGCAATTAATACATTTAATGTGTTGTTTTGTAAAAGATCCCTTTTGTGTTCATATAATCATTTACTTTTACAAAAGTGATAGAAACATTAACAAAATGAATCTAGATGAAATCAGCTTGATTATATACCCAAAACACTTAATTTTTTTTTATAAAAATTGATTATTAGAAATATTAAATTTAATCTATTAGCATGAAATTAAAAATAAAATAAAAGCTTCAGAAAAGACTTTTTTCGTTTTTAAAAATTAATTTTAAATCTTGGGTATCATGAATTAGCAGAGGTACCCTTGTCTTAAGTTATCTGAAAAATTCTTATCAAAAAAACAATTTACAATGTTTCATCAGAAGAAATTAGTTTGAAAATGTTTTCTGTACCCACTTGTAGAGTGTGGTCAGTCTGTCAGTCACCAGCAATTTCCACAAATCATTGCTTAATGCTATTAATGTATACAATGGTAGAGGATTTTGAAAAAACATCCACCTTTTTAAAACTTCTCTTCTTTCCTCATCTATCACATGTTAATGACAGTTTCTTTTTAACCCATCCAAGTCCTCACCCTGCCTCATTGCAGTCTGGGGCTGGCTGATTGGCTGGGGTTTCAGCCTCAAAATCAAGTGAATTGGAGGGTGAATGTTTACATCTATATTGCTCATGTTCCTTCCTCTTCTCTTGTTTCTTGATTCCTAATCAATCACTCACTCCTGGTTAAGTTTCTTCCATTTGATCCCACTTGTGGGGGTAGGATTTGATCAGCTATACTCTCTACCCACCACCTCCTAAGCCATTATGTTACCCTCACACACTCACTGCAATATACAGGCAGCTAGCAAGTTGATCCTGCAGTTGTCCAGAGTAGAAGTGTCTCCCTATTGTTTGTAGATTCTATTAAAGAATTTCTGATTGCTAGAGAAAATTTTTAAAAATTTTAAATTTTAACTTTTACTTTTAAATTTTACAAAATATGATTTTACCATATTACCTTTCATCTAAAATTTATTTCTGGTGGGAGTGGAGAGGAAACGGATAATTTAAATATTGTATTTTTGTAGGGTTAATGTAAAATTTGTTTTAACAAGTTTTGTCACTTAATATTCTATGCACTGAAAAACCAGAATGGAGATAGATTGTCAGTGGTCAGGAATTAATACAAACATTACTGAAAGAATAGGGCTATTATATGTATAATGGAAATGCATTGCTAATGATTTTACTATAGGAATGCATTGAAAATGAGGAAGAAAGGTATTGTCAGTGGTCAGGAATTAATGCAAACATTGCTGATAGAATAGGGCTATTACATGTATAATGGAAATCCAGATACATTACTGACATTCTAAGGCTATGAATTCATGAATAATTAACTATATTTTAAGGATAACAAAAGAAAAAGTTACACAGATACATGTGTGTGCACACACACACACACACACACACACACACACCTTTCATTTCAAATTTGGGTCAAGTATTTATTTTAAAGTTTGAAGGCCAGACAAAAGACCCAGTATAGCTTTGTAGGGTGTGGCTTTTTTTTCTATAACCTCATTTTGTCAAAACTTTTTTCTTGGTCAGCTCTGCTGGACAATAGAAATTGCCACTGTTCTTTTCAGGATGATTTCTTTTTATGTGACAAACTAATGCAGAGAAAAAAATAATGTGTTGGGGAGGGGAGAAAAGGAATTTCATTACATGACCTTGGCCCATTGTCCAGGTTTGGTTTTTTTCTTTTGTAAAGGTTAAATGATAGTAGGTATGGCTTTTGTGTATATATATGTTTTACAATGTTAAAAATTGGTACAGAATTAGAATTATGTTTCAACACCATAAATGTGTCTCTTCAGGTGATGTTAAACTCCTGGCAAGTGAAAGTTTAATTTCAAAAAGCAAAATACTTTACAAATAAATAAACTTGTGGGCTTGGCTGTGATTAATTAATCAAATGTGACCCATGCTAAATTCACATTCCCGGAAAAAAAATTTTAATATAGTTCTGCATATAAAACCTAGACATCTACTATGTATTGAGTCATCTTTTAAATCAAATGTCACAGACAGTGGAGTCATACTTAATTTCTTTTCATTTTACCTGTATATATATATATATATAGATATATATATCTTGTTGTAACCTAAAGAAGGTTACTGAATAGAATAATCACACAAAGTTTGGTAATGAACACTAATACTTATGACAAGAACAACATATATAAGATTTGCCAGTAGCACATAGAAGAAGTAGTCAACTGCTAAAAGTGAGTCAAGTGAATTCCACAATTAATCTCTAATTGTAGACCAACATACAGTATTTACTACTGTATTTATGTGAATGGGGACAAACCCATTATCATCTATAGTTATGTTACAAAATATATTAGTAAAGACGAAAGGAAAACTAACCTTAGCCAACATATTTTCTTCTGAGAGACTTTATCCAGGCATTTCATAAGACCCTTTGTATATATATATATATATATATATATATATATATATATATATATATATATATATATATATATATATAGTTTCTTTGTAGCTTTAATGTATATTCTTAAACGGAAGAATAAGGTTGTGTCTTAATATGACAGTTCCCCAAGACATATATGGATACCCCCCAACATTTTAACCTATGTTTTTTAATATTTTATATATATTATATATATATATATATATATAAATTGTGAATTTGAGCTGTAATCCCTGTTTTATGTAATTAGGTATATAATTAAATTACAAATAAAAAAAAATTAAATAAAGAGCTTAATCACAGTACCTTATCATTCGTCTTTAATGAAGTCACTTGTCACATGAAAACCACAAGCAAGCTGAAAAGACTTTATAAAACAGGCCAGGCCCTGTACAAAACAAAGAATTTTATGCATCTGCATTACAAGTCACTTGCTGGCTTCAAGAGACATTTTCCTTAAAAATGAAGAACCAAAAATATGGATCAGAAGTTGATAACACTCCTGTCTGCATATGCATGTATAGAAGTAAAACATTGCAAAAATTCCTAATTCCTCATAAAAATTCTTGTTCTCATGATAGGATATACATTTAAAGCCATTAAAGCATCAATTAAAAAAATTAATTATTTAAACAAGAAATAAATAATATTATTAAGATATTTAAACAAGAATTAACCAGAATACGTTTATATTTTCAAAAACTTTAGAAAACCCCAGAATATTCCAGAAACTTAGCCTAAATATAAATTGTCTCTGATACCGGATATAATATTGTTAGATCATCTTTTGACACTCAGAGCCTGAAAGATAAAGAAAAGAAAGAGTGAGAAAGACAAGGAGAGAGAGACAAAAAAATTATGAAAAGAAGAAAAAAACCATGATATCCTGCACATGTACATATATGCACACTTATTGGCGTACATACACACACACATACAAATATCAATCTAGCACAAATAAATAAAAAAAAAAGTGCATAATTTTTTTTTTTTTTAAACTTAATATAAAAATAAGAAAAACAATAAAATTGACAGACATTTGCTGATAGCTATTGATGAGTGGACGGAAGCATTACACAAAAGTTTATCTATGAAACTCTAGAGGTGTTGAATATAACATCTGTCAGCTGTGACAAATTTTATTCACACATATATATATATATATATATATATATATATATATATATATACACATGAATTATTCACACAAAACTAATGCAAAAGGTTAATGATTTAAATGGAAAGAGACATCCATCATTAAAAACAATTCAAATAGTATACAAAAACCTCCAGATCCGTTATGAATGAAAATGATTCCTTGTTTAGGTAAAATAGATGTTAATTTGTTTTTTTTTCTTAGTTCAAAAACTTTTTTTTCTTGGTAAGAGGACAACGAAAATATATGTATTTGTTGTATATTTGAAGATGTCTGACAGGAACAGATGAAAGCTTGAAAAAAATAACAACTAATACGGCAGAAATTTATTAAACAAGGATCAATTCATTCATAACAGATCTGGAGGTTTTTGTATACTATTTGAATTGTTTCTCCGATGATGGATGAAACATCTGCCATTTAAATCATTAACCTTTGCATTAGTTTTTTTGTGAATAATTGAATGTATAAATAAATTGATTGCAACGTTTATTGTAATATATATATATATATATATATATATATATATATATATATATCGAATTTAAAGTTAACCTGAAAAAGACAATATTTATAAATGTATAAAAGACAATAGGAAAACTGTTTTAGTAAAAGGATTCATTTTCGTCAATGTGGACTTTTTCAAGACAAAAATGATATGAATTTACTTAGTACTTGACATAATTTTCAGTTAACAGTATGAAAATAGCATTCTCTAAATTCTTCCAGTTGCTAAGGACATTTTGTTTTGCTATTATCAGTTACTTTGTTTTGATAAATTCATTTTGTTTTTGCCCTGAAAAAGTCCACATTGGACAAAACGCATCAGCTTCTATTACAGTTTTCCTATTGGGATATATATATATATATATATATTAATCATTTCACCCCAAGCAAGGCAACAAAGCCACAAGGTTTTACTAAGTCTGGGAGAATATTATTAAGAAGAGAAAATTAAGAGAACAGAAGATAAGGAATTGACATTGCATTCAAATTTTTGAAGATCAAAGTTGACTGCGAAGCAAGTAGTCAGAAGAGAGTTCCACATCTCGCCATTTCACTTGTAAAATGATGAGACCTTACTGCCAATCTAGTACTGCACTTAAATTCATAAAGTTTATGTACAATAGAGGAAAGTTCCTCTGAACAATTACCATGAAAGTATTTATAGAAAAGGCACAAGGAAGCTACATTATGGCAGTGGAAAAGTGACTGAAGCTGAGATGCCAGTTTGGGATCAATAACATTGCAGATTCTTCTTTGGATTTTATTTTTAAATATTTTTTGAATACAAAGTATATTTTACATATCCTTTGTATTTTCATATCTATCTCAGACTGTTCATATTGATCTCTTCATGTTCAAGATGAACGATATATAATGTTTGAAGTTAAATTCTTAAAGAGATTGAGGACACTTTAATCATAAGGAACAAATTTTTTGCAATTATTATAACAATATATTAGAGCACAAAAGTTTTCTTTCTAAGATCAGATATTATTTTTCAAACCACTTAATCATTTTGTTTATACTGGTCATAAAGTGGGGGATCTCTTTTCTATTGTTAGTAAGTAATAAACAGATCCCTAACTAGAATTACTAAATATGAGTACACTGACCAAGAAACCTTTCCAAAACCAATTATGTGGGTTGGGCTGAGAAATTTTCAATCCTCTCTCTCCTAGAAATGTGGGTGTCAAGTTATTAGCAGTTGTACTAGTTGCCAATAGACTCCGCTGTATCTGAGAGTTCTGGCTCATTTCTCTCTTTGTCCATTTTGTTTTAGGCATGGTGAACAAGAACCGAAAGAGCTTCACAAGGAACGAGCTGAAAGATGCCCTGAAAAAGTTCAAACAGCACAAGATATTCGATGAAGTAAAGGAATTTTCCACACAAGATGAGGTACGAATCCCCAAATCACCCATTCCAAACTACCCAACGAAATGTCCTCTCTACCTTGTTAGAGTCTCAGAGATGACACCTTTCTTCCAAATTTGATTTGTAGATTGGTTTGGATTTTTTTTTTTTTTTTTTTATCAGAATGCTTTTAGTTAAATTTTTTATTTCCTTGTGCCAAATAAGAATGAACACATAATTCAAACTTTTATACATTTTATTTACTGTTGAATAACAATAGATATAAAACATAACTAGTGGATTAATAATAGTTCGATAGGAAACGTGACCGCCATATTGAAATATTTTCTTCTGCTGTCCAAGCGAGTTCAAGGGACATAACTTGGTTCCCATCTAGGGAAAGAGTTAACTCCCTTGTTATGATGTCCGTCCTAACGTTTCTTGCTACTGATTGACTCCGAAAGAGACATAACATTTTCAATAAATACAAAGTAACTGATGATGATAACCATATTCTGCCGAATTTCCTGACCGCTGACAATCTTTCTTTCCTGATTTTCAATGTATTTTTAAAATAAAATCATTAATATTTTTTTTTGTTAATTAGTCAGATTTGTATCACTAAACCATTATTATCTTAAAAAATAGAATCGCGTACAAAATATTTAGAGTTTAGTATTAAGTAACTAAGTATTATGCTGCTAAATAAAAAAACAATCAACCAACATTTCTTACACAATTAGGAATCTGAAGTGAAGCCTATTTGCTTGGATGATGACAATTCTCTTCCCTTGAGGAAAAATAGTGTACAACCCTTATTACAGAATTTTAAAATGCTTAAAAGAAATAAATGTCTGTACCAAGATCACTGTATTTAAAAGCAGTAATGGGAACGCTGATTACAGATAATTAGTTCCAGATCAAGAGAGTAAATTTTTCGAAATTACAAAATTTTTTTATTTAATTTTAAAAATATGTATGATATGTTTGTTTCTTTTTTAAATAAAACTTATGGTGGAAAATTTTAAACAATTGCGCATTCCTTCTCACCTTGAAATTTAATCAGAAATGTCATTATACTGCCTCCCAATACATGCCCCATCTCACAGCCAGCCAGAGAAGCAATTTATGACAATCAAAACTCTAAAGACAAAGTCCTGTTCTTCAGCAGGTTTCTTGAAAGTCAAAAGGTGAAACTAGAAAAACAAATACAAACTTGAGTCGAAATAACAGAATAAGTAAGGCAAAAAAGACATGAAAGAAGAAATGCGACAAAGAGAGCCGAATGCTGAACATCAGTCAGACTGTGAGGTTTAAATCGGTAAAGGAGGGTAGCAAATAGTTTGCTTACAGGAATATGTTATAAAGTTTGCAATAAATAATCACGGCCCTATACTGGCTGCAAACCGCCTGCATGCAGATAGAAATGATTTCAGCAAATATACAAAAATAGAAAGGGATGTAAGACAAGGATATGTCTTCTCACCAGACATATTCAATCTATACAGTGAGGCAATTCTTAGAGAACTAGAAGTCCTACCAGGATTCATTATTGGTGGCCACAATCTTAACAGTATAGAATATGCAGATGACACAATGTTGATAGCAGACACAGAAAGAAAACTGCAAAAACTCCTACAGGAGGCAATGGAGGAAAGTGAGAAGAAAGGATTAAACATTAATTCCAAGAAGATAGAATGCATGGTTGTTAGCAAAAGGGTAAACCCAAAGTGCAAATTGCAAATCGGGGATACCAAAATCAAGCAAGTGTGGATATTTAAATATCTGAGAAGTGCTTTAACAGAGAATGGAAAGTGCAACATGGAAATCCAAAGGCGTATTAGGACAGCTAAAGATGCCTTACAAAAGCTAAGCAGAGTAGTAAGAAATAGAAAAATTTCGTGAGAAACAAGGAAAAGATTATTCAACTGCTATGTGATATCTGCCCTACTCTATGGCAGTGAGTGTTGGATGGTCTCTTCAAAGATGAAGAAGAGACTTGAAGCAACAGAAATATAGTTCTACAGAAGGATGCTGAGAATACTAAAGACTGAACATGTGAGCAATGACAGTTTTAAAGAAAATGGAAACAAAAAGGAAATTAATACTTATCAGTAAGAGACAGTTGAGGTTTCTAGGGCACATAATGAAGAAAGAGGGCTTGGAAAATCTGATACACACAGGAGAGATTGAAGGCAAGAGACCAAGGAAAACAGCATATAACATACTTAGTGAGCTTGAGTAAATGGATGACAGAACAAGGTTTAGGAGAGATAACAAAAAGACAAAATTTATTAAGCGCTACAAAGGACAGGAAATTGTGGAGAGCCATGATCGCCTACATCATGAAGGAACATGGTACATATAAGAGGAATCACTTTCTGTAAATGGATTGCAGAACAGAGTTTAGGAGAAATAACAAGACAAAATTTTTTAAGACCAACAAAAGACAGGAAGTTGTGAGGAGCCATGATCACCTACATCCTAAATGTTCAAATAATAATAAAGGACGTTTCATTAAGACGGATCAAAGTCAGTAGTAAATAAATCAGTATTATTTTTGAAAATTTATTTATTTCTCTATTGGATCATGTTATTTAAGTCATGGCAATTATGTGTGAAAAATAATATTGTCCAAATGTCCGACAAGTCTTTGGTAACACACCTCCACTCAATGGTCAAAATTTTTGATGACATCTCTACATAGTTGCTCCTCGATCTCACCAATATGCCTTATTATCTCATCCTTCAGCTGTTGAATTGTTGTTGGCTTGTTGGCATAGACCTTACATTTGAGATGACCCCAAAGAAGAAATCTAAAGGCGTCAAGTTCCACGATCATGGTAGCCAATTGACTTCACTGTTTCAAGATGCCACCTGGAAATTTCTCATTCAAATTCTGTTTGAACGTCCATTTTCATAATAGGCTTCGATAACTTTAACATGTTGTTTGATTGTTAATCTTTCCATGGTTGAAATTGTCAAAAAGTTGTTAAATCTGAAAGAAAAAAAAAAGGAAATCATTAGACACTTAAACTTAATTCACATTTAAAATCAGTCCAAGTTATTGGAACACCCTTTACAATGTTAAAGGAGACCAATACAGAGAGAAACTGGTTAAAATTTTATGTACCGATGATGCTATCATTGGGGGTAAATTTAGGAGGATAAGAAAGCTGGAATCGTGTCCTTTGAGTCTATGGTTTATTATGCTGCTTCCAGTAATTATTCTAGGCTACAGTCCTGGGTATGATGATAAACTACATCTGGCAGCAAGGTGTCTAATTGAGAGATTGGAGGTTTTCAAGAGTGTGGAACCACCTCTTAATTGCTGTTGTTCCCAGATCTACCTTGAACTGAGATGGTAGCACGTCTCAGGGTCCTAGCTATGCTCAAATAGTGACCCCCTGCCTCAAACAAACACAAAACACTATAAAAGTATTAAAATATATTTTTATAGTAAAAATACTGGCAATACATACATTTTATATATAAAAAAACTTACCAACAACAAATATTTATAGTAAAATTACCAAGAATATGTTTTCTCTGTAGTTGATGGCATACAATTGCATTCAAAATATATTGAAGCCATAAAACTGTGCCTATAGAGGTTGATATGCCAATAAAGAAAATCAATTAACCAACTACTCTGGTTACACAGAAAGTGGTAAAAAACAGTCTAAGGTGTACCTTAATTAAAAAGGGGAGGAATAAATGGAAAATAAAACAATTGAGGTGCTGTACTTGAGTAACAGAACAGTCAGATTACATAATCTGGAGATACTGTCAAAATATCTTTAGATATTTGCTAGCCAAAGAAAGATTACAGTGAAGAATCTAAGTATATAAAATGAAATGCTGTAGAAACATTCTTGGCATCGTTTACATTGACTACATCACATGACAAGCTTGTTGGAAAACCTCTTAACTATCATGAAGAAAAAGATTGAAATGGTATGGACACCTCATAAGAGTTAACAATCTTTTCATTTCCATTGTCTTTGAAAATCGCAATTTCCATTTCAAGTAGGCTATTCCATTTTTCTAAAAAAAATAAGCTGTCACCTCTACATTAACAATTGGTTCAGTTTTATTTTTAATCTTTTATGCTATGAACAATTATTTAAAAGGATGCAGTTATATTCTGGTCCCTTATGACATTAACAATCGGCTCAGTTTCATTTTTAATCTTTTATGCTATGAACAATTATTTAAATGGATGCAGTTATATTCTGGTCCCTTATGACATTAACAATCGGCTCAGTTTCATTTTTAATCTTTCACGCTATGAACAATTATTTAAATGGATGCAGTTATATTCTAGTCCCTTATGACATTAACAATTGGTTCAGTTTTTTTGTACGTGTGTGTCTGTGCATCATTTCTTATAACCATAAATAATTATTAAAAATAATAACATTGTGTCTTATCACCTTTCCATTTCTTTAGTCTCTTGTGACATAAAAAAATAAAACAAGAATTTAGAAGAGGAATTATTTCTTATTTATTTTACATTTAATTTTTTCTTTTACAGACCGAAATCGATAAGAAGGAATATAAAAGCTACAGTGAACTAAAAGATGACTTTAAAAAAATGAATATGGCTATTCAAACCGAAGGCGAGATTGTGACAGAACTTTTCAACAAAATGAAACAGACTTCTGATAAGGAAGAGCTTCGACATATCTTAGCTGAACTTGAATACATATTGCACAAGGTAAATTCAAATTTGTTACACTATTTACATTATTCAGACTATTGTCCTCATCTTTGTCGCCATATTTATTACAATGTTTCAGCCGTTGTACATTCTGGCCTTCTTCAGGTGGTTGGAATGTTGAACTGAACACTTTATCTCGCTCATTGGATTACACTGTTCTAGTTCCACATGCCATGTTTAATGGATGTCAGTTATCAATTATCTCCTGTTAATTCCCCTCTCCAAGTTCTCCACTGCCTTAACCAGACTCACACTCTTTGGGTCCTGTCACTGGATCTAACCAATGCATTTATCCACTGTGGATAAAGGACATTCCAACCACCTGAAGAAGGCTGGAGCATACCACAGCTGAAACGTTGTAATAGATATGGCAACAAAGATGAGGACAATAGTCCGAATAATGTAAATAGTGTACATAATACCTCATCTCAGAAATATAGACAGATACCAAATTTGTTACATATCATTCCATCATTTTTTTTTTTTTTTTTTTTTCAGACAAGACATTTTAGTCAAACTTAAAAACAAATGAATTTGAATCTTGACCTCTGGATTTCCCTGTACCATATCTCTGGTCTTTTGAGATCAAGTAATAAATATTATTTTAGCCAGGCAGATCTTGTCCTCCAACAGCATCATTGGTCTGTGTTGTAACCTGGGGAAGGTTACTGAATAGAGTAAATTCACTTGACTCATTTCTAACAGTTCATTAACTACCTTTGTTTAAGGTAGTTAATGAACTGCTAGAAATGAGTCAAGTGAATTCCACAATGAATCTCCAACTGCAGTATATCTATGAACTGCCCCATGTGGCACAAGGCCGAATTTAATGTGGGGTATCTGGCTCGGCCCATAGACTCCGTATAAAACAAGGTTGGGTAGCTGTTTCCTGAGATGAGACTCTGCCCCTAGTCTGGGGATCCCCTCTGCCCAGAGGCAGAGAGTTTGACCAGCACAGCTGGAGACAAATCTTAAACTACAGACCCACATACAGTATTTACTACTGTATTTATGTGAATGGGGACACACCCATTATCGTCCGCAGGTATGCTATAACAGTCTGAAACTCACCTGTAAATATCAATGTCTGTTTGTGGGACTTCCTGCATTATTTGTGATGATGACATTGTATATTATGGAAGAGTATACATATAAACTACATCTGGCAGCAAGGCCTCTGATTGGGAGATTGGAGGGTTTTTTTGTGGAGCATGGAACCAATTCTTAATTGCTCTTGTTCACTGGTCCACATCTGAACCAGGGTGGTAGCACTTGTTAGGGTCCCAGCTATGGGCAAAGAGTGAACCCTCAAACAAAAACAAAACACTATGAAAGTATAAAAATACCAGCAATCCATAAAGTTGATTTTGGTTAGCAGCATATCAACCAAAATCACCAGAAACGATGACAATGATATATAAAGCTATAAAATAAACAACATATTGAGTTCCCCAACTGCAACTGCATTAATAAGGCTGCTTGTCCACTTAAGGGCAAATGCGAATATGAACGCATAGTGTATAAGGTGGAGGTATAGAGCAGCAAACCCAGTAATAGTAGCAATGGTAAAAAAAGTATATGTGGGTTCTAACCAAGAAGCTTTCAAAAAAAGATATAACCATAGGAGTATATTAAAAGAAAAAAAACTTGTAGTTCCAACGAATGATTTATTTTATGGAAATATTTTGACTAGCAGTTTGCCAGTCTTGGTCACTCCTTAATTTGAGTAAAAAAAGCACAAAGAAACTAGAAATGCTTAAGAATTTAAATCAAGGAAAAAAAACGAGTTGATGGCATTTACAAAGAGCAAGTTGAGGCATTAAAAAAATGGCAATTTGTACAGTAAAACAAAATTCCTTTTTTTTTTTTTTTTGTACAAACAACAAAAGAAGACAATTTACAAAACAAAAAATATAGATATATTGTTTTGTAAAATGTCTTTTGTTGTTTGTACTTCTTTTATTTAAATTCCTTGAGGTTTCTCCTCCATCGTAACAAGACTGACCACAATTTTGACGTAAAAAAATGCTACTCTGATTAAAGGATATATATATATATATATATATATATATATATATATGTGTGTTTTCTGTTTATACATTATTTTTCATAGATACAATTATTTAATGCTCTGTTTATAGTAAACAGTATTAATTACATTTACCAGCCTGAATATTTGAGAAATTTCATAGAAAATATGTCCGCCAACAGGATTTGGACTTTGCTAACTAAACACTTCTTCTGTAGCTGAGTAGTATAGCACGCCAAATCAAATGATGGTTCCATGTAGGACAATGGTTCAATTCCTGTCAGAGGACATATATTTTCTATGCAATTTCTCAGACATTCAGGGAGGTAAACATAATTAATATTTTTTATTATAAACAGAGCATTTATTTAAATAATTGATTTTTGCTGTCTCTCTCTTATACATACACACAGACACAATGGTTAATGGTCAGAGTTGAATCAGACCAGGGAACATTAGTATTTAAAAGTGCTCAATACACATGAGTAAAAATAAAAATAACATGTAGAGCTTTTAACTTTAAAAATCAGGAGGTCACTTAAAATATGCGACCACGTTTTCTACCTGGTGGTTTCATTGGGCGATAATTTCAAAATGACCACTTTAATGCTTTATTTAAACAAAACCCACAAAGAACTCTACATAATTATCTTTCAAAAAAAAATAACAGGCATATGATGATTGAAAGACAGGAAATTGGGTGTAATGGGAAGGGAAAAAGGGGGTGAAGAAAAGAATAGAAAAGGGACAGGAATGTAAGTATATTCTAAATGTATACAGTAAAAAAGGAAATCAAATATATAACTTAATTGTTAGAGAGGGATGGGTGGGGCACATGTCTAAAGGGTAACGGTAGGTTTTTTGGAGGTTTTTTATATTTTTTTTTAACTGGCTTCATAATCACTTAAAAAAAATTTTATATGAGGACAAGGGCTTAAAATTTCTGATTTTTGGTTTAAAAGATTTTGGGAATGTCGTAATTGCTAATTTCTCATATTGGCATAGTTTGCAAATGCAGGTATAATTGTTATATGTTTTTACCTCTTTTAAAATTTTCCACCTTATGACTGGATCCCTGTTATTTTTTCTTTTAAATTCCACACACACACACACATATATATATATATATATATATATATATACACACACACATATACAGACTCACTCTACACCTTTCTGACCACAGCTCAGATCCCATTTAAATATTCATGGAAACCTACCAGACACTATTTGTAACATACATTCACAGATAGTACTGCTTTGCTGTATTACAGCTCCTCAGTGTGACTAGACATTCGAATGCCTCAAGCCCAGATTGAAACCCAACTGATTTGGTGTCAGAGTTTCTACCACTGAGCTATCTTCATTCAACAGTGAGAAACAGCTAAATCTAGCCTATTGTTTTTATGAATGTAAACAAATGCCAATCAGTATATATATATATATATATCTGTGTGTGTGTGTACATGCACTACATAAATCTAAATCTTGTCTATCATTCTAAGTATTTGTTTTCTCCCCTTTCAGATTGACAATGCTTTACTTTTTATGGATCTTAGAGGAATGTCAGAACTTGTGAAATTACTGAACAGCACTGATGCAGACTTGAGACATGACACGGCCTTCGTTCTTGGATCCGCTATGCAAAGGTCAGTTGATCTCTCAAACTATCATAAACTTAAAACAGAATATTTTTTTCTTTATTTGTAAATCTTTTTTTTTTTTAATCATTTTGTTTAACATCATTTTTTTTCTACAATTTTGTGAATGGGAATTTTTTTTTTTTTTCTTTCTCATTCTAGCAACCCAAAGGTTCAAATTACTGCCATGGAAGCTGGTGTGTTACAACGCCTAATCACAATCGTCTCAACAGACTCCTCATTGTCCGTACGCAAGAAAGCTCTTTATGCCGTGTCAGCTCTGATGCGACATTTTCCCTACGCACAAAAACGTTTCCTCTCATTGGGTGGACTGTCCGTTTTGGCTCAGCTTTTCACCCAGCCCCACACTGAGAAAATGCGTGTCCAGATCATCACTCTGCTGACAGATCTCAACACAGAGAAGGTATGGAAAGCTTTGCAGGCATTTGTGTGTGTGACACTGTAAGGAAGATGGATGAATAATATTATTAACTGCCTGCACATCAGTACCAAAACGGTACCTCTTTTGAATCCAGGCTTAAAGTCATGTCATATTGAAACACCAGTTCTCACACAAATCACTAAAGTTAAACAACATCGGTACCTAGATTGGGGACCACATGGGAATGCAGGGTGCTGTAAGCTTGGATGTGTGGCTGTTGTAATGGATAATTGCTTGGAATTGTTAGTCGGAGAGCCACATTCTAATTTTCATTGGGTCCATTATATTCACTTATGGGCAAGTGCTCTTGAGAAATATATGGATCCACCTCTTCTCCCACCAGCTATGGGTTAATAAGACGTGTGTCAGTAAACCTTTATTATCTCAAAAATTTTACAATCTAAAAATATTTTCAGGCTTTAAATAACCCGGAACAGGTTGATAAGCCGTAAAAAATGAATCAAGCAATCAATCACTGATTAACTACACAGACATCTCTTTTTAGATTTATTTACATTTTCTGGAACATAAATGTATAGAAACTATCTCGGCCATAAGGTGAGGGGTCAGTTTTTATATAGATTGTAATGTAGAATTGGTCCCCCAGTTTATATCCACATTATAATTTCTTGTTGATCAAATTCTGATTAGATATAAATCCACTTCTTTTCCCAACAGCTATGGGTTAATTAATAAGACTTGTATCACCAAACCATTATTATCTCAAAAATTCTTAAATCTAAAAATATTTTCTGGCTTTAAATAACCTGCAAAGGGTTGATAAACCATAGAAAATCAATCAAAGAATATAAAGGAAATGAGTAAGAGTAAACATTTTTTTCAGGGTCAGATTCTTTGAATGTTTACGCATTATATCTATCTCTTGTCTGCACCTTTTCACACAGGAACAGCCATAATTATTTGTGTATAATAAGCAGTTTTTAGGCCAAAATGCTTATAGGGCAGTTTATACATGAGAATTAAATATTAACAAACTATTATATCACTTTACAAGTGTATTCATAGTTTATATCCCTTGTGCAGTAAAAATTCTGAATGAGGTGCGCTGTCCTGTTATGTCCCTCGTGCAGTAAGGCCCCGGGGCAGGCTCGCCACCCTCTTATGTCCCTTGTGCATATATTTGGTTATTGCCAGAAATAATGTTACGTGCAGTAAGGCCCCGGGGCAGGCTCGCCACCCTCTTATGTCCTTCGTGCAGTAAGGCCCCGGGGCAGGCTCGCCACCCTCTTATGTCCCTCGTGCAGTAAAACAATGAACCAAGCTTGCCACTCTCATGCAGTTAAAATGTTGAACTTAGGCTTAAATGAACTGTACAACGCCTAAATGCAAGGGTCATAAGACATTTTTGAAAGTTTTTTTGTTATGACCAGGAGCCAAGACAAACATGAAACTATTCACCTTCTTCTAAATGGCTATTATGGCTCTTTACCACTTCCTAATCTTTGTCTCTATTTCTAAGATGATCTATTAATTTACATTGGTTGGACTGTTGTACTCATCTTCATTTTCATGTTCATGACATTTCAACCATTGTACACTCCTGCATTCTTCAGGTGATTGGAATTTCAAACTGAACCCTTTATTTTTTATTTTGTCCACATGTCCCAGCAGATTGTTCAATAGTTCCACAGCCAAAAAAATTTGGTGAATTGACAAAATAAAGACATCCGGAAGAGGCATGGCACAAATTCCAATCTGGTGAACTTTAAAGGCATGGGTTCAAAATTCCAAAATTAAGTTTGAATTGAAACGTCTTGAACATGGCTATAAAGATGAGGACAACAGTCCAAATAATGTAAATTATTCCTAATCTTTAGCTCTGAGCAATGTTTGTCATTTTGCTATCTCTCTCAATTTCTGTTCTGCTACACATTTACACAAGTTCATTAAGTAGGTTACTCTGTTTCACCAGCTTTTAATATGTCCTGTAAGTGTTAAATTTGCCAAGCCTTCCTAGTGTCTGTTCTAGAAATTACAACTCCCACTTTATTATTCTAAGTGTAAACCCATTTTCTTTAAAACTTCCTTGTTGCTCATGTTGAGTCTATGGTATTCTCAGCATCCTTCTGTAGAAGCACACTTCTGTTGTTTCAAGTCTCTTCTTCATCTTTGAGTTGACTGTCAAACACTCACAGCCATATAGATTAAATATTATATAACAGTTCAGCACTCTTTACTTTGCTTCTAATGAAATTTTCCTGTTTCTTAATACTTTGCTTACCTTTAGGAAAACATTTTTCATTATTCCATTGTAACCAGATTTCAGTGTCACATTTGCTGTCATCTGTTAAGAATTTGCAGAAAATGGATTTCATGTCATCCAATTTTGATGCTCCTTGCTTTTGTTTTCACAGATTCATTCCAGGGCCAATTTGCAACAAGGGAACAGTTTGCAGAAAGAGAAATTAAGGCAATACAATGAGTAAGTGTGATAGCAAATTTCTCTTTCTTTTCTTTACCCTCAACTTTGAAAGGATGGAAAAAAAATCCCTGACAAATAAGGGACCAATTTTTATGTAGAAAATATAACAAATTTCTCTAATCAGCAGTGTATGTATATATATATATATATATATATATATATATATATATGGCCAAGTGATTAGAACGTTCACTTTATGACCATGAGACCCGGGTTCGAATCTCACCATGGTTGATTGGCCAGGAAGGAGACTTCCTGTTGTTATTGATCTGGAGGGGGTCGATCCCAGCATGTGGTACCTTTGGAAAGTGCCTGAAAACCATACCACAGGTTGATCCATGCCTTGTGAATGAAAAAGGGTAGACTGAACACTTGAGGGTTGTTGATAGCTGTGCTAGCACAAAGTTACAAGTCATCATGACCGAGTAGATTTGAGTGGATGCCATTGTCCAGATTGTTGATCATGCTAGATAACACACTATCTCTCAGAAACTGTAACTAAGGTCTGCTCAGCATAGTTGCAGTATAAAACCAAAGGTTGGATCTGTGGGTGTGGAAGAAACACAAATGTGCCTGAGCACATGTCTGCAATAGGGAGTGGCTAACCACCCTAACAAATGGGTATCCTCGAATATGAGTGGCCAGCTACTAACAAAAATCTATTAAACAATAGACATGAGTTAACGGTTTTTTGCCAACATCATCAAATTTTTGCATTGAATAATTAGCATAAAAACAAACAAACAATAAAATAATTTTTATAATCCATAGTCCTAATAAATAGTTTAAATGCCCTACAAAAAAAGATAACCCTTTATGAAGTCGTCAAAAAACAAATGTTACGGCAGTTTTTTTATATACACAAAACCCTTTCAGAAAGAAATAAAATAAAAAAATAAATAAATCTCCATAGACATGTAAACCAGACTAGGTGAAATCATCTTCCGTTTTAAATTTAGACACCCCTACCGTACCCTGACTTGATATCTATGAATGTAACTCTATACTGATACAAATTATTAACACTCAACACCCCTTCCTATTTAAACAATCGCTCTGGCTGTTACCATGGAAATTTTGATTTCAATAATGAATATGCTATTAAAACATGTAAATTTCAGAAATAAGTTATTCAAAAAAAATTTTGCTTTAATTCAAATCTTGTTTTGAAACATGAGACCTCTTATGTAGCATGTTGGAATCATATTTTTAAATAAATAATTATATATATATATATATATATATATAGTTTTCATTAAGACATGTCTCATTTAATAATTTAGACAAGATAATTTTTTAATTAATGTTTTTATTCCAGCTTGATAAAAAATTTTGAAAGTAGTTGTAGTTCATTTAATAAAACCTCTTCTTAATGAATATATGACACATTTTGTAGAGGTCGGGCGTATTCAACAAAAAAAAAAAAAATCAAAAATTGCTTTTTTCACTGCAAATTATTCATTATATCACATCCAAGTATTTTACAAAAAAATTAGTGCCAGTTACACAATATTTCAAGCTCAATTTAAGTTTACAGTTTCTAAGCATGCAATGAGGTAACATAAACCATAAATTTGTCTGCAGAATATCATTACATTATTGTTACATAATTATAGTGAAATCATTATATTTTTGGTTGTATATTAATTTAAAAAATTCCTTTTTGAAGTGGAATTTCAGAATTTCACTATTGCCCATCAAAATGACTGGAAGAAAGTGATCTAAAAACAATGGAAAAGAGAGGTAACAAAGCGTAAATAGCTTCAGTTTGTTCAACTTAGGAAACTTAGTATTGCAGGCAAAGGTTTCTGTAAAACTTGATATTTCCTGTAATAAATTTTTAAGTAAAATAATAACAATAATAATATTTATTAAGTGTAATTTACAATTCCTTACAGCAAACCATGAAAAGAAATATTGATCAAAACTTCTAAAACCTTAAAGTGTGTATTGCTGCAAAATTATCAAATGTTGAATACACCCTTCCTCCACTGAACATATCATATATTTTAATTAAGTATTATCATATATTTGAATGCAATTTTCAGGCCATGTGTGTTGCATTTTAACTCAACATTCAGGTATTATTGATAGCAAGGCCAGAGATTTCTCGTTTATTTTATTATCTTAAGTTATTTGATAGACAGGAGATTATTCTAAAGGCTATTGAATAGAAAAAAATCATGGGCCAGTATTTTCATGTTAAATTTTTGACAAGAGTGAACAAAAGTAATTTAAAAACAAGAGATTTAAACTTTATGTCTGTTTCTTTCATTTTTAAACATTCAGTACTAATTTTTTATTTCATTAACTGTTTTTATTAATTCAAGAATTTTAACTTAAAAATTAGGGAGATAACTTATATGTAGATACCAATCATATTGTATGAATTAATAACAATATTTCAAAGTTTACAAACCCCTTTTTTTCTTCTTTTTTTCCTGCTGGTTTTTTTACTACATTTTTTTCACCCATTTTTACTTCACCCCAAGCAAAGCAGTAAAATCACTTAGGGACTACAGAGAGAGAGAGAGAGAAAATATGAGAAAAACTACTATTAATGAGAGAGGAGAATATAAATTTTTGAAAATCAAAGTTCCACAGGTGAGAAGTGTAATAGAAGAGACTGTTAGTATAGAACTTCTGGCTATATCTAGCATTCATAAAGTCTAGGTACTATAAAGGGAAATTCATTAGAACCATTACTATCAGGGAAGATACATTACAATGGTGGGAAAAATGAAGTACGAGATGCCAGGTTAGGACCAATAACATTGCAGATTCTTCTTTTGATTTTATCAAGAATCTCTAAATATTTAGCAAGAGCACCAGATGACCGGATATGACAGCAATATTCAAAGTATGAGTAAATGGTAGAATGTAAGAATAAAATTTATTTAAGATTTAAATATTTTGTTTCTTCCATTTGAAATATTTGAGATTTTATTTTTGCTTTACTTAAAAATTTATTTCAAGAATTTTAGCTTCAAGAATTACTGTACACACTATTCAGCATAAAAGAACGAATTTGAATGTATTGTAGTGAGTTCTGATAAAAATAAAATATTTTAATTTGAATTCTTTTATTTTTTGTTTTTATAATTAAACCCTTCTTTTGCTTCTTTCTCTTCTAAAACCCTTCTCTCTTTTCTTTCTCTCTCTCTCTTCTTTCTCTCTCTCTTACTCTCTTTCTTTCTTTCTCTTCTTTTTTCTCTCTTTCTTTCTTTTTTCTTTCTTTCTTTCTTTCTATGAAAATTTCTCTTTCTCTCTTCTACTTCTCTCTCAACTAACAAGAGGGCAACCCTCAAATAAAAATATGTCATTTGCACTTTCCTTTAAAACCTGTATCTCTTTCTATACTTCCCTCAAATAAAATGAGGTGGAAGAGGAAGAAAAAACTGAACCTGACAGAAAAATGCCAGGATCACAGCCTATTTATTTGTGACTGAAAAATACCAAAAATCAGAAAGGCTCCACACACAACTTCCATTATAGAAAAAAAAAAAAAAATGAGAAAGAAAGGAATGCCGAAAAATAAAATAATTTTAGCCAATCAAAAAATTGACACAATGAGACTTTTGATGTTAACCGAAACCAATGTTTGCAACAGAGTCTTGGAGCCTAGTCAAAACAGATATAAACTGACACCTCTAGGCTAGAGACAGTGAGAGTGACAAACAAAGATGCTACCATGGAGAAGCCAGCCATGTGTGAAGAAGTAGTTAAGAGGTCATCTGTTAATGATATTTCTGCCCTTCATAGGATCGAGAAAAACACAATAGATTGATACTGACCTAATTTCTCATATTACTACTACCCCTATCATGGTCTGACTTAAAAAACTGCCACCCCTTTCTCTAATCATACTAAAAATATCCGCCTTATTAATGAAAATTTCACTACACCGAATACCAAAGGATTCCCTCATCCCTCTAAAGAAAATAAACAAAAATATATGATTTAATTTATACACTTGAGTTAGTCTTTGTGCTGTTCAGAACTTCAAGAATAAAACAATCTACATCACAACATCCATAGTATGGTTTATTTTTTTTCTAATTCTGGTTACTTTCTAAACCGTTCCTCAGTTTCACATTTTTTTTTTTTTTTTGTTTTTGTTTTTTTAAGCATTTCACCCCAAGCAAGGCAGAAATGCCACTAGCACGCAAGGGGTTACAGAGAGTGAAAGTAAGAGTAAAGAGAAAGACAGGGATCAATATCAAACATCAAAAGATTTCGATTGGCATTACTATTTAACTTTTTGAAGATTATAGCCAGTAAGAGGAAGGGAGTTTCAATGTAGGGAAGTGCGAGAGAAGAAACTGTTGGAGTAGAAAAGGTGGTTACATTAAACTGTTTCAACAGTAAAAGGGTGGGACCAAGATGCCAACCTAGTAGCATGCTTAAATTCATTTCTTTAATTTTTTTTTTTTTTTTTTTTTTATTGTAATTCAGGTTAGACATTCTGACCAACATGGTGGAGACGGGATGGTGTGACAAAGTCAAGTCTCTCCTCCAACTGCAAGACTACGATACCCAAGAGAAAGTGCTGGCCACGATGAACCAAATTGCTAATGTCTGCCGTTCTAGCTTCAAATCTGTTGATTCCCAATTGAAACAACTGGAAAACAAATACCACCATCTGTGTGAGGAAGACAAGGCGAATGGTGACGATAGCGAAGACAACGAATTCTTTTGCACTCTTTCCAAATCTGTTTCTAATATTCTTTTTACACTTGAAAATGTTAAAGACGAGTTATAAAGCTATCAGCAAGTATTCTTCAATCTTATTTTCCAGATTAAGGTTGGTAAAATAGCTTCATCTTTGCAAGGATATGCAGATTTTTTTTCATCACCCTTCCTTTCAATAGCCTCAATTTATAAATGTAGATACACTGTGAAGGCAACATTTTTTGAAAACAATTGAGTTAAAAAAACAAATAGTTCCAATTCAAGGTCATTTTTTTTTTTAGGATATATCAGTATCAATTCTCTTTAGTAATTCATCTCTCCAAGTTTTTGTTCCCTCTGCTCTGGACAGGTATTGAACTCACAACTCTTTGGGTCAAGTCATTTTTGGGATTACTCAACCAACAATCCATGTGGACTAAATAAAGGATTTGGTTCAAAATTCAAACCTATGTCACCTGAAGAAGGTCGGAGCGTACAACGGCCGAAACGTTGTGAATATGGCTATAAAGATGAGGACAACATTCCGAACGATGTAAATAGTTACAATACGTCATCTCAGAAATATAGACAGTACTATATTAATCAAGAAATATCAATGACAATTTTGATATATAGAGTTATCGCCCCTGACATTCTCATTATTTATTTATTCTCGAAGTAGAAAAAAATGGTACTTCCCTGCATTAACAGAAAGATGGTAAAATTAAACATGGATAGTGGTTAAACACGTTGATTTTAAAAAAAAAATTATTATAGTTTTTAACTATTATCATAGCCAGGAAAGGTAATTTTACCTTTATCCCCACCCACCAAAAAATATTTAATTAATTAGCACCTATTTACATTTAATCAAATAATATATCTTATGTAAACGAGGTCTGGTATACCTTTCATTATTTTATATCACATTAACTCCACAGTAGCACAGGGGCTTTTGTTTTTCTGTTACTTTGATCTGTATTCAAATAAATTCAGGGTCATTAATATATATATATATATTTAAAAAATACTACACTTTCAACTAATCATCAACTCTCTTCAGAAATGAGGTTGCAGTCATTCCTACTGCAGATTATGGGATATAATTACTAAATAATTTATTCATTGAATCAATGAATGATTTCAAAGTTCTTTTTGTAGAACATGGTGGTGTAACAAAGAGACAAAAGGATTGTTTCAATTGCTCTGTCCGATGTCAATTTTTTTTTTTTTTATTCATGTACAATGTAAATATTGTTATTAAATGTACATCTAATTTTCATCTGGGTTTGTGGATTTTTTTTGTTTGTTAAATGTAGTCCTGTATCAATTTCTAAACAACAAATAATCATACGTGGCAGTCAACACAGAACCAGTATCAACTAACAAATTTCTATGATTCTCCATATTTGTCCCAAAGAACTAGAAAAAAGATTCAATTTGCAGTTTCCATTTTGTAAACAAAAATGACAACCTTTTTAACAATGGACAAAATTTCAAATGGACATCATTGCCTATAATTTGTAAGATATGTTGAAGGCTCCAACACTTTTGATGAGATTTTATATGTTCCTGCTACATTTGACCTACAAATAAATTTAGGCATAATTATGTAACTCCAAAGGAAAAATAATATATAGAATTTGAACAAGTAAATATTAGCAAATGTATTGATAAGACATTTTACAAAAGGAAAAATGAAATGTGAAGAATTCAAAGCAACTTTAAGTGTCTGTAGTTGAAGTACTTACATTTTTGCAGGAGTGAAAAGAATATCTTTTCACTATGAAAAGTTGCTGAGAAAGAGATGGATTCTTTCAAATCTTGTGTCACCTGTAATTAACATCAGGGTGCAGTAATCCAACAGATATGTATATATTATACCATTTTATTGTATGAATAAATATGGTGTTTTTCTTTACTTTGTGATCTTTTTCATTATTTGAATGCTGTTTTAAGATTTTATATAATTTAATATTAATGAATAATAAGTTATTGAAAGTTTTTAATCTCCATACCCACAAAACAAGTGTGTATGAAAAGGATGGTTATTCCCTTGACGCCACTATTACTGAATACAATTTTGATTCCCTCGGGAATGTTTATTTTAAAAAACAAGGATTAGAATTTTAATAGAAACCAAACATATGTAAGCAAATTTATACATTTTATTCATTCTTGATAATTGATAAATAAATTTAATAATATCTTTGTTATTAAATTGTTTATGTACAAGATTATGAAAACACATGAACCAACTATAATGATATATTTATTATTATTTATAAAGAAATAAATATGAAAAAAACCTTTTTTTTTTCCTGTAAATATTGAGAACCATAAATTCTGATCTTAAATAAAATCCAATGATTATTCCAGATTTTATTTTGTTGTTATGGTGGGAACAGAAATTTTTGAGGTCATTTTTACCCTTCTGTACAACCTGAGTTTCAATCGTGAGGTCTCATCAGGTAGCTTGGCAAAATTATGTTCTTCCACACATATCAAGTTTCTTTTTAACCATATTATGTTACCGGAACTGAAGAAGAAGAGGAGGAGGAGAAGGTAAAAAGAAAAAAAAAATATGGGATTTGTAGAAGAACATAATTTTGCCGAGCTACCTAATGAGACCTCAAGGTTGAAACCCAAGTTGTACAGAATGGTGTTTTCATCTTAATATTAACCTGCTCTGCAAGTTCAATTTTCTGAATGGTGCATTGAACACTGACATATACATACATACATACATACATACATACATACATACATATATATATATATATATTTTCAAAATTATAACATCACTACAAAATTGTAATTTTACTTTTTAATTATATATATGTTATCTTATCATATATATGATTCATTATATTGATAAGACACCAGAATGGCTATTTTTGTAGTGATGACAACAACATGCATAAGTTATAATTTTTGAATGAATATTATTTGCTCTACTTGGTATTGAGCACTCTTTTAAGAATAGTGTTTTTTTGGTTATAGGAATTTTATTCCATCTTTACCAACCCTGTACTAAAATGTATGTGCCGGTATATATATATATATATATAGCATGTCTGCAATATATTTTATTTACCTAATAAATATAGTATATATATATATATATATATATATATATATATATATATATATATATAGGGGTTCTAGAAATAATCACACATAGAATCAATCAGTAATATTAATGAATTATTTTCAACATCCATAAATAGTAGTATAACCTATGCATTAAAATACTGTTAATCCATTTTAGTGATCCTCAAACATAAAATTGATGTCTGTTGTTAAATTTTGTGTTCTTAAAATGCTAATACTTACAAATAGTCTTCTATTCATCATCAGGCATGTTTTTTTCTTTGAATGTAAAATATAATAAACTAATGTTTTTATATATATATATATATATATACATACAGTTGAGGGATTGGAATTTATTCGTATATATATAATCACCAACAATATTTTCAAAAATAGGATCAATTGATATAAAACAAAATACAATTCGTAATTTATTAAAAAAATAATAATATGCAAAATATAAAAATCACTACAAAAATTCATTCCAAAAAAAATAGGCCCAAATAATTGATTATATTGATGATTTTCATGTCCAAATAAACGTTTTTAAAATTCAAATCAATCACTAAATGTTTTTCAAGAAACATGTTTACATAAGCTGGGAATACCAATCAAAATATAAATAGTGAAGAAAAAAAAAATGAGTAACGACTGAACATAATAATTTTTTAACATTAATGTTGATTTAGACTAAAATAAAATTTATTCTAACTATATAAATATTAAATTAAGTTATAAAAAAAAAATTTTAAATTTAATCTATATTAATTAATATTATAAAATATTTTATATAATATAAATTTATTTAAAAAAATTATATAAATATTGAAAATTAGATTTATTAATTTCATATATAATATCATCAGTTAATTTTTCAAAAATTTTTGAAAAAAAAGGTCTATTAATGAATGAAAAACAAGTATTTGTTTATTTCAAACCTAATATAAATTTTTTTGGAGCGAAAGACAAGACAATAATTACTTGTCCTGGAATTAAAGCTCTTTGGATTCTATATATATTATATATATATATATATATATATATTTTAAGTTAAGTTACGAAGAACTTGGTAAACCGAAAGGTAATTCAAGGAGGATGAAATCCTGAGAGCTCAATGTGAACAGAGCTAATATTTAATGAAAAACAGACCACTTTAAGGTACCATTACAATAATTTATTTCACCAAAATCCTTTTAAAGGACTCCGGATCATCAGGTAACAATTCCAACAACGAAATGCTATATATTTTATATATATATATATATATATATATATAGAGTATTTGAATCATTTATTATTTCTATTATATTTTTTTTCTGCTTAAAGAAAATATTAAATTGCGTAGGCCCATACAAAATTCAACATTTAATAACAGTAAAGGTTAATCAGTTGTAAAATAAACCAACCAAGTCTAAAATCATTTGAAAAGATTTTCATGGTTTTGTTTTTGTCAGCAATGAATAATGGAAATAATTTCTTTTTGAGATGTTTTTACCTGATGATTTTTCAGTGTTATCAAACTTTTTTGTCAATCCAATTCTAGACAATTTTAACTTTTCAAAGGACAAAAATTAGATTTTCAACATGCAAAAGAAAATGAGCACTATTTAGTTAGATTCCCACAGACAGGGCCAAGTCTAATCCTAATTAAGAAAACTGGATCACTTATAAAAAAAAAACAAAAAAACAGGGAAAAACTTTTAGGGAATTTTTGTATGAGATTCTTTACACTTTTGTGAGGTTGCGACATTTCTCAATCAAAAACAACAAAAATATTGGGGTTTTTTTATCATTTGTGATGAGGGTCTAGTTTATAATATTGATACAGTGTAAAAATTGATCTCTGATTTTTTTATAGAGTTGTCTGGACTTAACTATTCTACATGACAAAAATTACTCCGAAAAAACAAAAAAACGAACTTATATATTTTAAATTAAAACATAAATTGAAATCAATTCATAAAAGAGTATCTTTATCCATATATTTTTCATTTA